GGCACAACCCATTATCGAATTGTAAACACAGTTTGCTGACACACACGTACGGGATGGGTGAGCGAATTAAAATATGCCGAGAATCCTGCCCGTTGTCGACGGCTCAGGAATAAGTTCATACAAGAGCGGTATACCTGTATTGATGATGTTTGGTCAGTTGATTGCTTGCATGCGGTGTGGCAGAGATTCTTGTCTTTGTCTGTTTAAAATTAGCCAGGTTCCCTTAAACTTGCTTGGAGAATATTGGTGTGATCTGTTAATGGCAGTACTGAATACGCACTGTCCCCTAACATAAAAAAGCAAGTTACTTTTTTCGAAACTTCTGGACTCCTCCTGCGTCGGTTTTTGTTGAGTCAGACTTGCAGGAGGAATCCAGAAGTTTTGTGAAAAGTATTGCAGTAATCCGTGGAAGTTTCTTTGAAAAATTAAGTTAATGGCAATTTGTAAAAATAACATAAAGCCCGTCCAACTGGTAAATTATATTCAACCAATCGCACAGTATATTTGGGTATTACAAGTAATGAGCAATAGGGCCATTCTATCTTTACTTATAAACCAAATTAAGGCTACTCTTCAGCAGTTGCAAGATTCATTTTTTCAGCAAGGCAATGCCACACCTGCTTGCAGTTTTTTCCTGGTGCGCAAGGTCACCAGATTTATCTACTATTGGGAAATGATAGGTTGCACGCTAAGTCGGTTGCCACATCTTGGTTACTTTCGAAAATCGATGAAAGCGAATTTTTTTGTCTTTTTGTTCTCCGTTCTCCGATCTCCGTTCTCGTCTTGTGGTTTTTCCTGAATAACTTTCCACGAGGCACATAAGAAATGGCCCTAATCTGACCCCTGTATCCATTTTTTTTTTTGCGATTTTCGACTGTTTTTTGGACCTTGCTATGAAACACGATAAGTGTCGACTTCATATTTGGCAGATATATGCAGCTTTGCCTCGTGACGGAACCTATTGAAAATGGGGGGGAGCCGAGAAGTATTCTAAAAAAATAAAAAATCTCGCGTGCAAGGGTCTACAAAAAACATAATTTTTCAAAAACTGTTTAAGTGACCAAAAAAATTCTTGAACCGAAAGAAGCAGAGGATATGGCTCTATAAACTTTTATTCGTGACAATTTTTCGAAAATATATAGGGTGCGCCGCAAATTCAAAAAAACTGGAAAATGGGTCCCCCTATTACAGAAAATTTTCAATAATTTCAAATCTGTGTTTTAGATGTCAGTTTCTTTTACATGACGATATAGCCCATACAGACAGCTTAAACTTTTGTATTTACGGTTTCTAAGTATTGTACAGGGTGTTCGCGATATTCCGTGCAATATTAAAAAACATAATAAGTACCCCAAATTTGCAGCTACCGACTTCAGACTTGGGAGAGAAGTAGAAGTCTGGACCCGCATTTAGACTTTTTAAACTGGAAGCAATAAAATAACGCAAAGTATTTTTTTTTAATTTTCGATTTTTTGTTGTTATTTTGGCATCCAGAAAAACATCTTTTGCTCCAAAGCCATTCATCTGATCGGAAAAATTTTATATCCGTAATACGTGGGAGACCCGGTGCTATAACTTTTATTTCAAAAATCTAAAAGACCCTGAAAATTGTTCTTTTAGAGAGCAAATTATCAACAGTAAATCAAAATTCGTACAAATAATAGCTAATCCATTCAAACAGTGTTATAGGCCGTATATATATATAAATATAATCTTAAATTGCTATTACTAGTACAAATTTTAGTGTGCCGTAACTTTGAAGTTCGACTAGATGTGAAGGACACTATATACAGGGTACATTTACAATAAATTTACATCGATTTTGGTTGTCCATAGTTGTTCTATTACCACAAACAGATATCGTTTGTCATATATTGTAATTCACATTTATTTCAAAACCAAAAAATGGTTGGCAAGCAGTTTCGGAATTTATTTATTAATTGAATCTGCAAAGTTCAATTTAGCCCTCGAACTCCGAACCATGGATGCTTGTAACTGCGTGCATAATATATAAAGACGTACGGCCCGCCATGTTTCCTCGCTAATCCCTTATGCAACGTGTCGGTCCAGTTCCTTAATAATATTGCATGAGGTGCGGCTAGCGATATATATGACCCTAGACGAGACCGTTAGCAAACTTATGGTCATTATAGTCGGCAATAATGCCGTCAGTAACCACCGAGGCGTGCCGAGGCTGCGGGAAACATGGCGGCTCAGCTGGAAATACTTCCCCAACTATGCGAGCTGTAAAAAATGCCCCGGGAATATACGTACTTTGCCGGGAAGTCGTGGCTACTTCAAGCTGATAGTGTTTTAGAAAAAATATTACAAAAGTTGATGAGTCGCCTAAAGCAGATACAACAACCACAAACTTGATAGAAAATTTTGCAAAAATTGAAATTTCAAGTTCAAGTGGTTTGACCAGATTTTTAAAATTGTAGGCTTTGGAGGGTAAGTTTCACATTAGTAAGCGGGGGTCATTAAAATAAAGACCGCAATCAGACTTTAAGCAAGTTTTGTGAATGCGCTGGCAAAATTGTTTGAATCGAACATCCTGAAAGGCTGCCGAACAAGTGTGATGATTATGTCAAAAATCACTTAGAGATCTTAGAGGTTGAGGTTGAGTCGAGTTGAGTATTTCGAGTGTATGTTCGGCAAAGTTATATAATATATATTATATATTATTTGATTACTATATGAACTTACCAGAACTTTTTCCTTCATGTGGACCAAAGATAAATCTTACAGGATTTCTGCACTTTTTGACTCCTGTTCCTCGAAACACAGTAACAGTAACAGAAAGATTAATTAACGACAGAGCCGGCAGGTGTCATAACAGTTTTTTTTTAATTAATTTATAAGTAGTGCCAGTGTGGGTCGATAGGCTATCGTCATTGAGAAAGAGATACGACCAATTTGCGACTTTTTCTGTGTTTTGCTCAGCTCAAGACGGCTTCTTACAACTTACGGACCTTTTGTTTTATCTTATTTTTTTGAAATATCATGGCTAGGGTGGTTAAAAAAACTTTTTTTTAACCTGACACAAAAACTAGTTGTTGGTTACCTCTAAAAAGTACTTACCAGTCTCTTAATATTAATTGGAAGATTTTCCTCATTCGAGATCTGCATTTTCGATATATGAATATCACCAATTGATCATTAAGTAAATTTTATTAATAATTTTTAAAGGATAAACGTTCTACAAAAATACTTCTCTTATACATTTTCGATAAATCGAACCATTTCAAAGATATTCGCAATATAGAAATATAAGAGGTGACATAGAATAGTATATTATGCAACAAGTGACACGAGCGAAGCGCAGCGGAGCCAGTTTTTAATTAACGAGTGAGTTGGGTACATTTTCACAAAACAACACGAATACATTCACTGACATGACCGTCAGAATTGACAAACGTCAAAATTCAAAGCCTGGGAAATATCTCCGAAAACATCCGATTGCTCCCAAATCCGTGCGGCAAAATCCCGGAAATGTCCGAAGTGACTCGGAATCATGGGAAACCAAACTGACGTGGTGAAGTGACGCTTCCCGCACGCTAGATCGATGGGTAATTAGGTATTTTACAGACGGGAGGAGAAAAACGATATAAAACTATAGATGCTGCCTAGCATAACAAGAAATAGCTTTAAATACATTCTAGAGGTAACTAGCAACTAGTTTTTGTGTCTTATAAAAAAATATATTTTTTGTAACCACCTTAATTATGCCCATATTTATTTAAAACCGATTATACATTTTTTCTTTATAATTGGTGAATTGAAACTTTGTTTTTGTTTTGTGATCCTGACAGTGAGGCGCGAATTTGTCACGCGGCATAGTTTGATGGCAAATAAGTCGATTCTAAGCAGAAACTCACGAGAATATAATACCGAAACCAAACTATAATTCCAAAATCCGCGTAATGAGATGTCGCCATAAAATCTGAAAGTAAAATTCAGAATTTTAAGTATATAAATGGACATTGACTTCCTAAAAGAAATTGAGTTACGCCATCTTGGTTTCCGCTATTACAATTTTTTGTAAAAAAAATAACCGAATTTTCAAGCTACGCTCTTGAATTCAATTGGGGAATGGCGTATTTACCACTGACGCTGACGGCCTTGCTTTATTTTTTTATAGTCCGACACAGATAAATGGCCATGACTGTAATGTAAAGCTACTAACGGTTTTATCGCGTACTGTATAGTTGGAATTATGTAAATAATTACATATTAATTAATAGTCAGAATAGTTTGAATCTGTGCTGTCACTATCATCCACGAATATAATTAATGGTTTTGCGTTGTCCCAAGTTTTTTTTTGTAATTATTTTCCTCTCATTAACACATTCTGACTTACAACTGCTCTTTGATATTAATTCCCACCGAGTTTTAATTACAAATTACATTTGCGGACTCTCTAGTATTCAAATCGCAGTGTAAAGGTGTATTACCGGATTTTTCTTAGATCTTTAAAATCATGGTCATGTTGACTATCGAACTGATCACTCACTGTTGTGATGGAGCGACAGTGAACATTCTTGCAGGTACATTGAAAATGGGCGTTTTATTGGTTTCGAGGATAAAGAGGTACCAGTGCATAGTCCAGCCCATCTCGTTATAGTAGACTAGCTTAACTATTTTAATGCGTTTTCACCTATTGGGATGGTGTCACATCGAGCGAGTCCGGACTGTTGCTCAAGCTAGACGTCCGGACTCGCTGCGAGAGCAACGTCCCAGCCATAACGAGCATCCCTTCGCATAGCTAAAAACATCGCCAAGAAGCGTCTTTAATACGCCCACCGAAACATATTTATTATGATTGCGTAAAATTGGCTATGCGCACATACATAGCCGTTTTGAGCCTCAACGCGTTCAACCTCCCTAGCGGGTGCGACAGAGAGCGCCTACGCCGACGACAAAGAGGGATGCATCCGCTGATGAGAAGGGCTGCTGCCGAGAGCACACGGAGGCTACAGTCGCGTCGTTCACTTCTCTGCGTGACGTAGGCGAAGCGTACGTAGCAGCAGAACGTCCGCTGCCGTTTTACGATCAACCTGAACAACTGAGCATCGGGGGGGCTCGATCGCGCGGCGCACTTGATGCAGCGAAAGGTGGGATACCGCGTCGTCGGACATCTTTTTTGAATGGACCCGCGAGTTGTTGAATGACTCGGGCGTTAAGTGACATTTGAATGGGAGTGAATGTGCAGGTGCTGACGAGCTTGTTGGTATTCAGTGTATTGTGATTGGTGGACTAGGTAATTTTTATTTATTAACCGCCGTTGCCGCGTAGTTGAGTAGAGTTGGTTTGGCGTGTTAGGGAAACCTGGGGTATTCTTCGAAGAGTTACGAAAATCTACGCGGTTAAAGTTCAGCATTGAAAAGTCAGTTCTTTTTCCGAACACCGAAAAATTGTGTTTTTTTTTTAAATTGCGGTTTCTAGCTTTTCGATTTTTTCCAACTTTGATTGGTTTTGACCCATCGTTTTTCTAGTTTTCCTGAAAAATGCTCAGTCCTGCCAATTCCTACTAAAACCAGAAAAACTTTTGTTTAAAATTAATCTAATAGTAGTAGCTTTTTATGCAAATAATTTCACAATTTATGACCGAGAGACCTTTTTACAATCAAAAATATGTTCTATTACCTGACGTTATTAATGTCGTAGAAGCTCAGAAGGAAAATAAAAAAAATAAATACAGTATTTTAGGCAGTAAATTCAAACTAATAATTCCTTTTTGCAGGGAAGCAGATCAAAGCCATAATGAACGTTGAAGTTGTTATGCCACTTTAAAAATATTATAAACTAACACAAACTAGTAATAAGTTGGATATTGATATTCAATTATTTAGTTTATATTTCATCAATATAGTTTTTTTTGTCTATATGAAATTATATGCAGTTTAAAAGCAGTTAAAGTTTATGTTTGTGAAATCAAACTTTGCTCTGATGTAATTTAGTGATGTAGTGCAGTTAGACATTTCCAAATTTTATCTATGTAGAGTTAGACGCAGTTAAAAGCACTATTGAAGTTGTTATGACAGTTTAAAAAAAATTTACGCACACCAAAACTAAAAATAAATTGACAATATTGGTATTTAATTTTTGCAAAGTGAAATTTTGATATTACGTATAGTGTATCTCTAAAAGTTATCTATATAAAGCTATATGCAGTTAAAAGCACTGTTAAAGTTGTCATGGTAGTTTAATAATATAAACAAACAAAACTAGAATCAAGTTGATAATGTTGATATTTAAATATTGTGTTTATTCAAATTTTGTTCTGAATTACTTTAGATTTCATCAATGTAGTATCTAGTATCTATATAAAACCATTCCAGTTAAAATCACTGTTAGAATGGTTAAGGCAGATTAAAAATACTATAAACAAGCAAGGTCTAGAAATAAGTTAAAAAAAACTTTATTTTTTTTTTAATATTTAACACGCCGTATCATGGAAACTTGTCTTTTTGATTGACGAAGACACCCTGTATAGAAATAAGGTCTATAAAAAAGGTTATTTCTTGATGTCACAAAAATACTATATAACTGTGTACAATTTGTGTAAAATTTATATATTTGGGTGCCTCGAGAGGTGCTACCTTTAAAAATAAAATGAAAACTCTATTCACGGAACGTTGCCTTAATATTTTCTAGGTAACACAGTGAAATGTTACTGACAATTATAATTTGGAATATATATGGTGCGCCTATTTTTTCAGCAAAATTTGAGAAAAACGAATGGTACCAAATTATTTATTGTTATAAATAACACTGGCCGCAAATTTGTTTGTTTATTTTCCCCCAATTAAAAATCGTGTTTTTAGGCAATTGAATTTTCAAATTTTGAGAAACAAATCAACTCTCGACTCAGCCAAAATCTTGTGTGAACAGGTGCGGCGTATTTACAGTGCATTGACTTTTACAGAACAAAGTCGTAAAAAGGCGATTTTGTTTGGAAGGTTTCGACAGAATTTGAAAGGCGCCGCATTTTTCCCGTGCCGGGTAAAGCAAATTAGACCACTTTTTTTTAATGTAGAGAAGAAGGTCTTAAATGCGCCTCATTTTATTTATATTTCGATAACTCGAACGATAAGTCTGAATTAAGGTAACACCTTAACCTTGACATAATTTCGTAAAATTGTGCAATTTCTTCCATGTTATTGTTGTCATCAGCTGAAAGGAATTTTTCTTTATTCTTCATTCTTCTGATTCATCAGTTTTCCGCATTTCTTCTTCTGTTTTTTTGTTCAAATGCCTTTCATTTTCCTTTGCAGTATTATTCTGCATTCTGCAACTTTTCAATTCTATTTTGGACGGTGAAGAGGTGGCGATTTGTGACTCGGAAGATTTTCTTCCTCGAGTCGCTGTTTTTCTCTTAAATGCAAGATCAGGTGAAATATCGAAACGAGGAAACGGCATGGACCCAGACAGTAATCGTAATTACCATGAGCCCAGATGTTCAGCCTGACTCATATTCAGAACCAAAATGTTCCAACGCTTATCTTTGTTAATGACATCCGTACTACATAAAGCAAATAAATTCTAATTAAACATTTCAACTATGACAGAAAATAATTTTTTATTTATTTTATTTACTTAAAGCCTATCTTTCAGGCATGAAGTTCAACTTACAGGTAGGTTATAGTACGAATTATTGAATAGTTACAAGTACGAAACTTAACCTAAGGTGTAGCCTAACGTAAGCATTAATTCAAATAAAAAAAACAGGAGAATAGGAAAAGATTGAAATTGAAACAACGCAATCCTCAAATAAACCCTCCCTCATTCCTGTAATTACAGCAGGTAAGATACGCCCGTAAACAAAGCCAGGGGAAGTATCCGAATTCTCCCCTTTAATACCATTAGGCCGAAAAATTGAATAAAAAATAAGAAATATGACGAGGGTTATTCGTGCCGTGGTGGGGGGGTGTTGGGAGGGTTGGGGGGCGACGGACCGAACGGGAATATTCCGTTAGCCCTTTTTAAGGGGCGCAGGACCAGAATTCGCTTAAAAGGAAAAATACGTCTCGGAAAAAAGAAACGTCTTAGCGGTATTATACGGGGAGTTTGTATGCATGTTCGCAAATAAGGGGATTTTCGCCCCCGTTGCCGGAAAATGTCAGATTTTCGTCGTACTTGTGGGGGTATATTTTTGTCGCGGAAGGAGAAGTGTCGGGTTTTACGTTACAATGGCTTGGATGCCATCGAGGTTTCAAAAACGGGCAAAATATTTCATACGTAGAAATTATTGGCAGTGTTTTTGGTTATTAATTTAATACGTACTTGCTTAATTATCTGCTTCATTTCAAAAATATATTAAATCTAAAGTACGTCTATGAAAAAAGTCATTATTGGACGTTTAATAATAATATAAGTGGTACGTAAGTGTTTTCATTTAAAAAGTTTACCGAACGTGTTGCATACTATGCTTTTTCAAAGACTGAAGAAGTTTGTGGGTACATTTTCGCAAAACAACACGTATACATTCACTGACATGACAGTTAGGATTGACAAATGTCAAAAATCAAAGCGTGCGGTAAAATCTCCGAAAACATCCGATTGCTCCCAAACCCGTGCGGTCGTATCCCGGAAATGTCCGAAGTGGCTCTGATCCGTGGGACAAGAAACTCACACTGTAAAGTGCCGCTTCCCGCATGCTAGATCGGTGTATAATTAGACATTTTACAAAAGGGAGTAGAAAAAACTTTTAATTGATTTAATTAATAATATTAATCTTAGTTTAAACCACCTTACTATATTATATTATTAATAAACTTTAATAATCAATTTAACTGGTACGATCATATTGAACATGTTTGCAAAAAAAATATTCTAATTAAAAAGAAACATAGGGCACATAATGCCCTTTTCCTCTCACAGCTCAGATATTTATTGCCATTGTGGGGAGCATGTGGTAAAACTAATTTTAACACTGCTCGAGTGCTTCAGAGCAGACTTTTGAAACTGCAATTTAATTACGTTAGGTTAACACGGACAGATTGTATAATGAACTTACTGTTCCGATTATATTGGAGTTTGAACAAGCTAAATTCATTTACAAGATATTAAAGAAGAACGCAAAAATGTAATCATCAAGGCTGGCAATACAGTAATACATCTCCTACTGATATTAATCAAAATGAGTAACCAAGAGAGACCGCCATTTATACGCAAAATTTACTTTTGTGTGTTGTATTGCCTTTACCTCAAGTTTGCAAATCCAGAAACATGAAGTGCACCAAGTACTAAATGGTACAATAATATAGAGCTTTAGGAATTACCCCTTTTTTGTGGGGGAGCAGATGACAAAATTCATTTTCACACTGCTCGAGCTTCAGAACTGACTTTTGAAATTGTTATTTTAATTGCGTTAGATTAGGTAACACGTACAGATTATTCACTGAAGGTAATATTCCTAGACTTTGTATTATATCGGAGTTTGAAAAATTAAATTATTATGCGGAAACCATACCAATACGAATACCGTACGAATTGGATTAAAAACAGGTAAAGTTGCGTATTTTGGTCCTTTGTAACCGTTTCAAAATCTGAAAAAAATTGATTAATTTCGGAGGCTATCCAAATCAGCAATTTCATTTGAATCTTTTTCCTGGCACTTTCTTGTTGCAACTTTTCAGTATGTTTAAGTTTTAGTATAATGTTTCGGTTTTGTGTGACCACCATTAACTTAATTTTTTTAAATAGAGACCTGCATTTTTAATTTAGTATTTTGATTGAGTTTGTTATTCTTTGTTATGATTTGACAATAAAATCAAATTTACAGAAAAAAAAAATTTTGTGCTATGACTACTTCATGACACAAAAGTATTATTATGTCAAACCGTCTCGACGCATCTGTTAAATATTAGAGTTTTAATTACATTTTACTTTGGTAGCTAATTATTAAGCAGGAAAAGAGAAGTTTTTAAAATAAATATAAAGAAATATCTTAATACCCCAAATCAACACACTAATATCAAAAATAAACAATTTCTAGAATCATGTGAGCTGCCCTAATTAAAAGTCATATACTAACTTACTGACTAAACTAACTATAAGAAGTAATCCGCTTAATTAGATGGTGAGAAGGCTAACCGTCTTGTTTAAACCATATTTAATATTTGACACTTTGACATAAATGCTTCTGTTTCATAGGCACCTTATTTTTTTGTGTAAATAATTTTGTGTAAATAATTTTAATTAATATTTTTCTGCTAGCTATGAAGACTTTCAGAAACTTAAGAAACACTACTGATT